CGAGACCTTCTGCAAAACGTGAAACTTAGTTTGGAAGATTTCTCTTCGTATTTTTTAAAAATTTTCTTGTTTAGAGCGTTGTAGAGAAGNTTTCTTTGTTTCGCAGAAGGTCTACGGTTAAGAAGTATTACTATAAATCGCACCAACAGTTTAAAGAGCATCTTTACAACTTTGTTATGGCTTATAATTACGCAAAAAGACTCAAAACTCTCAAAGGCTTAACCACTTATGAAGTTATATGTGATCAGTGGACAAAATTTCCAAAATTGTTTATACTTCCATCATGCTTTGGGACTGTACACCTAGGTAACCCTAATTTTGATTAGCTATATTTGCTCAAACTTTTCTATAATATTTTATGAAATTTTAAGTAAAATTAAAAAAGTGTAAATTTCAAAGCGACATCAATGAATTTTTTTAAGAAATAAAGTCATTTTTAATAACTTCATATCAGCATGTTGCTTTCTACCAGGATAAAGAGTACATACATGATTAACAAGAAATTATTATTAGTCTTTTCTCTACTGCTATCAAAGCAATCCTTTGCTAGTGGGTTATATCTTAAAAGTGGATATAATGGTGAGTTTTCTCACTATGTTAGCCCTCTGCAAATCAAGGAAAGTAAATGTGTAACTGTAGATGATGGTAATCATAACATAATGAATCTTGCTGATTATAACCCACGTTATCACTCTGTGCTTTCTGCCGGTATTGCCCTTGGTTATCAAGGAGAATCAGTAGGTAAGGGTGAGTTAGAGTTAAGACGTTCTCAAGTTAAGGTAGATAATATTGGATTGATAGAAGGTCCAATATTTATGTCATACAAGGTAAAGGGTCAACAAGAATTAATGAAAATAACTGAACTGACCAACGATAGAATTGAAAGCACATCTATCATGGCAAACATGTATTATCAACCGCACAATGGNGTGATTATGCCAAAACAGACGGTAGTAATATGACAGATGATATACAAAATAGATTAATGAGTCATCACATTACACAAGTATTTGATTTTTTCAGCAATCTAGAGACGGAATATAATGCTATGCATGGGTAAGATCTTGTTTCACACAGAGCGCTGTAATGCTCTGTGTTTTTTTGCGGTCAAGCACACTTACACTTTGCACAAGATATTGAAGTTTTATAGTTAAAAAGGGGAAAATATGGCACAATTAGAGATTAGGAATTCAGAAAACAACAATTGTTTTGATCAAATTATAGACAATATAACTCTTACAGATGGTGAAGGTAATCAATACAGTATCTATGTTAATGGATACGACGACAGCCTTAGTTTATGGTATATGCAATCGCAAGGTCATACAGAAGGATACAAAATAACGGGGTTGAATGATTTGATAAGAGATTTCTTTAACTTCAGGGTCAAAGATAACAGTCAGTTAAGTGAAATATTTGCCAGAGTAGATGGTGATAACATTAGTAAAGACAATGGTATAGTGAATAAATTAATGAGTCACTACACTGTACAGACACATGACTTTTTCACTAATATGGAGCAACAATACAATGCTATGAGTAATGATTAAAGTATTATTTCTGACAATTGAGGTATTTATTTATAGTTAACAGTAGATAATATGGCAGGAAAGTTAAGGTTCATAGCTCAAGATCTCACAATTATTACTGAGAAATTCGATGTAAAAGATATATGCCTTACCGACCATTTAGGAAATCAATATATTATAGATGTTAGTGGTGCACTTAAACTAAAGTATACCCCCTCGGGAGGTAACTCAGAAGAATACACATTAGCTGGGTTGAGTAATTGGATAAAAGATTTATTTAAGGTACAACCGGATAATACACCTACTCTTCCTAAGAGTTTTATTCACACTAGTGATATAACAAGTTGGTGGAATAATGCTTTTAACAATTTTACCTCTACTCAATCTTATAAAGATAAAAATTATACAGAGTACAAAAAGGAGGCTTTACATCTTATAGCAAGGGATTTGTTAAAATGTATTAGAGGTCAAGAATGTGAACCAGCTTGTGATAAGGAAAAAAATATAGATGAAAATAGTATAACAATAGAAAATTTTGTAAAAGAGATTCAAGAAAGTTATGGGTTGAGGTTTTTGAGCTATAATGACATAAATAACCAATGGAATAATGAATCTAAACAGTCTATATACAAAAATTCTAGAGAGATGGTAACAGTTATTCCTAAAGCAGATTATCAAGAAAAGCAATTTTCATACGATCCTAGAAAGTTTTATATACTCTTTACACAAACAATAATAAAAATAAATGATTTAGCTGATATAATAGGAGATGTCTTAAAGGAAGAGTACCAAAAAGAAGTCATTAAACCTATAGATAACCCATTTGCCAGATTAGATGGTAGTAATATAGAAAAAGATGATGGTTTGGTAAGTGAATTAATGAGTTATCACACTGCACAAGTATTTGATTTTTTAAGTGCATTAGATATACAATATAATGTTTTCGGCACAGAAGGTTGATCTTGCTTTATAAAGAGTCTCACAATCGTTATGGAATGTTTGGTGGCAAACCAGAACTTCTCCTTTGGATTTAAATCAGGGAAGTATGGTGGCAAAAATAAAACTTTACATCCAACACTTTTTATTAAATTTCTCGTTCTTTCAGGCCTTCATACCAACTCCCACTACAGAACAACCGATTGGAAAAAATGGAAAATAAAGTTATACTAAATCAATATGATTGATGAGGTTTGGAATGGCATTAGTATCAAAACTATTAGACGAAAAAGTCGTGAATTTGGCAAAAGAGATGATAAAAAAAGTAAGGTCTAGTGTGTAAAATTTCAAGAACCACATTGACTGAGTGGATAAAGCACCTAAAGTTTGGAAGAGCAGAAAAGCTGTTTGCTCCTGCAGAGCGGCGAAGAAAAAGCATATTAAACCCGAGTCAACGTGAGCAAATTGAACGGTGGATGGACAAAATCTTCAGATTTATTTATACTTAATCCTTACCATCATACTCTGGGACCATACACTTTAGCTGAATGAAAAAAGATGTAATCCAATTCTTACCAAGAAAAAGCTTCTCTTTAGCGTGACAAGGATTTTATTTGTTTACTTTCACTGATTTCCAAAATTAGCAAAAAACTCCTAATATCATGGAGAATGGAGATATAAAAGTTAATAAATTATAGAAAATAACAAAGATTTTAAAGAGATGATTGNAAAGTTGGCCACTGTGGCGGATTTAGGCATACAACATATCTATAATGGAGGACTATTCTTAACTTTTTTATGGTGGGCCAACCGATACAAAAAAAACTTGTTCTCAGAATCGCTATGCAAAATAGCCAAAATCCGCCATATTGGATTACTTTTTAGTAATTTTTGTTTACATGAAAGTACATACGTGCGTGAGAATAGAGAGTAAATATGATAATTTTCTCTTTAAAATGAGACCTGCAATACTGCCCTTTTCTATAACTTTTGTAACTCAGGTCAAAGCAAAATCCTAGACTTTCCTGAGCATTATTTGTATTATTAAAATAATTTTATTTATGGTTAGAGTAATATGCCACTGGAAACTGAATCCCAATTCGAAAAGTTTGACAATACTATTGCAAAAATAAGTGATGACATTAATTCTGGTAAAATTAGTTATGCTAACATTTATGAGGAACTAAAAAATCAATTAAGAGAAAACGTCAGTACTGTGTATGAAGAGTGGAAAAATAGTAAATTTGATCCAAGTTTCAAATTTAAGTTATATGATGATTTTGATGATATAATAGAAAAAACGTTATTACATAGCGCGATTGACTGCACAAAAGAAGCTGCATGTGTACCACTGGTTCAATATTTATTAGAGAAGAAAGCCGATCCGAATATAAGGGATAGTTATAATCAGACTCCACTGAGTAGTGCTCTTTATGCTCGAGAAGATAAGAATAAACAGGTGGTAAAGTTATTATTAGATGCAGGGGCAGATCAAAATGCAGTTGACAATGATGCAACTTATAGAAGAACACCATTATCTATAGCCTGTAAAGGTGTTCGTGAAGGTTTTAGCATAGAAACAATAAAACTTCTACTAGAAAGAGGAGTAAACATTAATGACGTGGTAGATAATAAAGGAAATATCATTTTACACCAACTTGTTGAGCAGTCATTTAGCATACCAGAAAAAGCAACAACTTTACAAGCACAAACTTCTAAATTAATAAAGATTGTTATAGAGTATGGAGCTAATATTTATGCTAATGACAATAGCAGTAGCAGTTACACTCCTGAAAAACTTATTGCAAACCAGTTGCGTGGTCACATTATATATGATAAAAAATTTGTTGCCTCTATACAGGAATTCTTAAAAGAGCAGAAAAAATCAGTGGAATATCATCACAAGTTATTTGAGGTAGTGGAACAGTATCAAGATCTTAGATCACTTACTGACATCATAACAGAAAATGGTCCAACTAGTATAAGGGGTATTCAAGTTTGTAGTAAAGCGGTACCTCAAGCACTTGGGATACCAGGTATAAAGCTTGTTGTTATGGTTGATGGTGAATTTAAACAAGAGTTCTCTCAAGGAACAGGATACCCTGTTATTAGTGTTGAAGTTGGTTCTCTTAGAAGATGTCTTGAAATCATTTAAGTAGCTAATTTTTTAAGCATAATGGTAATCATATTAAAGAAAATATTGGTTTTTGAGGTAAGAGGAGAATGTTCGTAATCTTTGCTCATGCGCCTAAAATTGGAGAGCCAAGCAAAGGTTCTTTCAACTATCCAACGTTCTGGAATAACCTGAAATCCTTCAGCTTCGGGATCTTTTTTAGCAATTGTGAGTAGACATCCGGTTTTCAGAAAACAGCGCTTTTGCAGTTCACCTGTGTATCCTTGATCGGCAAAAAATCTCTGCAAAGTTAGTGTTTTGCGCTTTGCTTTTATTAGTAGAGCTAATGCTCCATCACGATCTTGCACACCTGCACTATGCACATCAGCTGTGACTACAAGACCCAACGTATCCACTATAATATGGCGCTTCCTGCCTTTTATCTTCTTTCCAGCATCGTAACCTCTGGACCCCCTTTTTGAGTCGTTTTTACTGATTGACTGTCTATTATTCCAACAGACGGTGTTGCTCTTTTGCCGGCCATTTCTCTTACCTTTTTTACCAAAGAGTCATGTATTCGTTGTAATTTTCCATTATTGCGCCACCTGAAATAGTGGTCGTATACTGTTTTCCATGGCGGAAAATCTTTTGGCAGCATTCTCCACTGACAACCTCCTTTCATTATATATCTTATTGCATGCTCTAATATCGTGTTTTCTTGGCCTTCCTATTGCCCCTTGTGCAACGTATGGCTCTAGTATTTCCCATTCTTTGTCACTTATGTCACTTGGATACATTTTTTTGCCTCTTAATTCTACATTTGCTTTAGTATATTTATCTTTTCATTTCTTTTCAAGACATCTTCTNGGATTTTTATTCAATTTGCACAACTCAAATATTTGCCGACTTTTAAAGAAAATGGAGCCATTGTTGGCAAAAAAAGTTACCATAAAAAAGGATAGAACCTTAACGCCCGAAAGGATTTTGAAGATTTTAGCAGATGTTACAGAACAGCCGATACAGCGACCAAAAGACAGCAAAAAACGTAAAAAAAGTTACTCTGGCAAAAAGAAAACAACGACCATAAAAACCGAAATTATAATCGAAGAAAGTGGGCAAATCTTGTCGGTTTCAAAGTCGCATCGAGGTCGAATGCACGATTTTCGCATAAGAAAACAGGAGAAAATGCTGCCAAGAGATAGTATAAAACACGCTGATTCCGGCTATCAAGGATGGCAAAAAGTTCAAAGTAATGTAGTAATTCCATATAAAAGGTACCGGAAGAAACCACTAACGGAAGAGCAAAAGGAGCATAATAGAAAGCTGGCGTCGTTCAGGATGCGAGTGGAAAATAAAATTCGAGAGATCAAAATATTCAAAATTATATCAAATGTTTACCGCAATTTTCAGAAGAAATACAACATGAGATTCAATATTATTGCTGGTATTGTGAACCTAAGGCACGGTTTTTAATAGCTTTCGGGTTGGGGTTCCTTACCGGATTTTATCAGCAACTCTCTTTATGTTGTTTCGCAGGGGGGCTACTGTTTTCCATGGCGGAAAATCTTTTGGCAGCATTCTCCACTGACAACCTCCTTTCATTATATATCTTATTGCATTAATAATCGCTCTAATATCGTGTTTTCTTGGCCTTCCTATTGCCCCTTGTGCAACGTATGGCTCTAGTATTTCCCATTCTTTGTCACTTATGTCACTTGGATACATTTTTTTACCTCTTAATTCTACATTTGCTTTAGTATATTTATCTTTTCATTTCTTTTCAAGACATCTTCTTATAAGTGCACTTTCTTCTGAAAGGCCAAAACACTCCTCTTCAACCTCATCGATTAATATTGCCTTTTTGCGTACAGCACGTACTTGATATTCCCTTTTTTCGTTGTTTTGTGAAGTACTTGCTTCAACCTCACATTCGTCTTTTTTTAAATGATCTATTTCTAAATATTCAAGCTTAATAAATCTACCATCTTTGCCCAAAAATTTTAGATAAGAACAGCGAATGCGATCTGATTCACTACTATCATAGGTTTCTAACTTAATCCTATTCTTTTCATTACCTTTAACCTTAGGCCATTTTTCTATCATTGGAATTGAAATCGAGTAGTCCATATAACCCATATCCCAGCCACTTCTTCCAGAATTACCATTTAAACCAGGGTTTCCATCTTGCCCCTTATCTCCATCTCTTACAATTTTAAGTACTTTTGGATTTTTTGTAATAATGATCGTACCACCATACCCACCTGGACCACCAAGTCCGCACTTTCCACCTTTGCCTCCTTTTTCACCATCTGACCCAGTGTAGAGTAGAAAAGCCTGACAATCTATATTATCTTGTTCAAAGGAAAAAATGATTTCACCACCTTGGTGTGTTTTTACATCTATAGACCTTCTGCAAAACGTGAAACTTAGCTTGGAAGATTTCTCTTCGTATTTTTTAAAAATTTTCTTGTTTAGAGCGCCGTAGAGAAGCAAAGTCACACATGGGATAGGTTTTTGTACCCCCCAAAAAGAATTTGACGTTTATTTCTTTGTTTCGCAGAAGGTCTTATAAAAACACTACCTGTAAAGTTCGATTCTCCAAGAAAATTCCCTGACACTAGACCTTCTGCGAAACAAAGAAATAAACGTCAAATTCTTTTTGGGGGGTACAAAAACCTATCCCATGTGTGACTTTGCTTCTCTACAACGCTCTAAACAAGAAAATTTTTAAAAAATATGAAGAGAAACCTTCCAAGCTAAG